AAAGTACTTATTCTACGGAATGTGTGTAATAAAATTTAATTTTATGTGTATTGATTTTTTTTTTTACTCCTTCACTTCATACATACATAATATAGGGATTGGCTCCCTAAAGACATCGACTGTATAGTGTACAAAGCATTGAGTATCTACATGTTACAGTCATCTAATGTTCATCTATTATTGGCTGGTAATTCCTGTTTCACCCTGTATTTAAACTTTTTTAAAAGAACACCAGATATTTGTAAGAAAGCTAACTTCAAGGGGTAATGATAACATCGTTTATACTAGAATTATGATGTTTTTTAGCTCATGTAAAATATAGAAGAAACAGTTCAACTTTTAAATACCCGTACGACCTTCACAGTATCATATTTAGTATTAAACAAAATGTTTGGGAGCAATATACCAAGCCATTTTTATTGTAGGCTGGAAGAGAATAATAATAATAATAATTACAAACAGGTCATTTTGAGAGGATTTTCTTTTTCTTGTAAGTCTAAAATGCCTGCTTTTTTGTGTATTTTTATATGTGTACAGCATTAACAGTCAATAGTATAGATTTTAAAGTGTTATTTGAATTTAATCTTTACTGTTTAAGGTGCTTTTTGCCAGAATGTTCTATTAGGGTTTTGAGCAATTCCTTGCAATCTCTATTATAAACCACTTCCGTGGTTCCTGATACATGTATTTGGGAAATATATCTGTGCACTTACATTTTTTTGTATAAGTTTTTATTTTTAATCTATACCTATAACCTAAATTAAAAATGTATATACTTTTTTCATGGCTGTTTGTGTAATTTGTGAAGAAATGTATTGAAAACTGTTTACTTCCCATATTTGTGTTACTTACTTCTTTCTCCATTGTTTATTCAAAATCAAAGTTTTGGTGTTTGATAGTGAAAAAGATTTATAGTAGGAAATCCAGTTCTGTAGCTATTATTGATAAAAACTGTTGCATTGTAACTTGGATAGTTGAAAAATAATTTTAAACAAATGCTTAATCAAGCATCAGATGTTTGATAAAAGTGATTAAGTTTTTATATTAAACTTAAGATTTGTCTTAAAAATGCATATTGTTAGGTTGTAGTCTCCAGATATCACTTGTCATGGCTATTAGTCTGTAAATCTAATGTTTGATCAGTAACTCATTTTTATGTTTACATATTTTATTAATTTTTTCACAACTAAATACTGCTTACCAATTAGTTTTATCCAATGTGTTTTATGCATAAATTTATGTCTGATAATGAAAAGAGCATATTTATGCCATGCATTGAAAATATTTTGATTAAAAAAAGGAGATTAATTTGTTATAGGAATTCTGTGTAACAGCCATATTTTTTATTTGCTAGAGATATAACTTCTGGAAGTTATCATTTATATAAGTATCCATAATTAAAATTTGGATGATAATTTATATTTTTCAGATTCGAAATAATGTGGTATGTTTTCAATGATAATTTTACCACACTTATTCTGTCTAATAATGTTTTTAGTAAAATAAATAGGTATATACTTACACTGTTACTATGACCTTTAGTTAAGTTGATATGATGTTTGTTATTCATAATATTAATCAATAATAGTGTAACCTGGTTTCTTTAAGATTCTAAACATCATTAATGTTGGAAGACAAACTGCTGTTGTGATAGTCATTCAGTATAATAAAAATAAGGTTATCCAAAGCTCTACATCATCACTTACCAAACATTAATTGATGGATGCACTTGTAAACCTTCTGTAAACTTAACTCTTCAGTTGAAGAATAATAGCAAGCATGTTAAAGGCAAAATGAACTTTAGTTAAGAATTGTGGTGATTTAACAATGGCTGTAAACAGATTAAACTGTAAGAAAATATTCCATAACTGTTAAGAGTTGGTTATTTTCTATCAAAATGCCAAAATTTTAGAAGGTTTAAAGAATCAGAATGTTTTCCCAGTCAGTTATTTTTACTTTTTGTTCAAGGAATATTGAAACATGTTCAGCTAAAGCAGCAGTTTAACTTCAAGATGTCAAACTATCTATTTATTATGTATATAATTGTGAAAATTAGGGAACAATGTGCTAGGTTCATTCTTGGATTATCACATAATTAATTTAAGGAAACTTGATTATCAGTATATTTTGGTTGGTAAAATGTTGTTGAAATTAAAATATGTAGTAATTTAATAATTGACAATACATGTGTGAAATGTGCTACAAGTGTGTGCAGTGAGTTGTTTTGCATTTTTAAACAAAATCTCATTTCCCTTAAACATTTCAGAATCATTTCATTTATTGCTCTTCAGGTGTCTCATATTAAAATAAGAAATACAGAAACTAGGTAGTTTTTCTTCTCCATATATGTCTATTTCAGTATCATTTAAGATGAACTCTTAACTTGGTGGTATACTTCTGCAGTCATGTAAGTGTTTTCTTTAAATTATATATATATTTTTTGTAAAGTTAAGTAGAGTTTTTTTTTTACAGCTAAAACTTGTAGAACATCTCTGACATTGTTGGACAAGTATAATATTCATACTAGGGCATCTGGTTCTTTAAAACAACATTCTTATTCATTGAGCAGTGTCCAAAACGAAGACTTAGAGAAAGATGTTATGGATGCTGTAAGTTAAATGCAATTTGAAATTTTTGGTTTTGTAAAAACATAAACTATTATTTAATAGGGTTTCTGAATTAATTTTTCTAACCTCTGTACTTGAAGATGTGTGTTCTCTGTCAGTTTTGAACAAACTGTAGTTTTTCGAAAGAAGCGTGGTTTTATAAGAGATTTTGGATAAAAGTTAATTTGTATGCTACCATTTTGTGGTTGTTGTCCTAATGCTAGTTGGTAATGTAATAGACATTTAATAGGAATTAAAAGAGAGTATTTTCTGAACCTATAAATAACTTAAGTGACAAATGAGACATTATCACATCAAACTAATTGTACAAGAAAATCACTCTATGTTAGAACTCAGTTGTGGTCTTTTATTTTTCATTTTACATGTGTTTTATCTTCCATAATTGCTTTTACTGATTATTCTCTGAATATAATGCAAATTCCAGTCCACTTAATGAAAATTAAAGTCTTATTTCTTTAACTACAAGTTCTACAAGCAACCAAGTAGTGGTATGCCTAAGTTACAAATAAAACAAAACAGTCTCCTGTTACATTTTCTTTCACAGTCATGACATAAACTCAAGAATGTATGTTGCTAAATGAGTTACCCTTCCTTTATTTTGATGTCTGTAGACTGATACTAATACTAAAAATAAAACAAAAATATATTAAACTGAAACACACATAATTAATACTTTAGTGACTGTTAACAAATGAAAAATTCATATTCATAAATTAGCCATAGTCAGAACATAATCCAAGAAATATTCTTTTCTTGTTCAAGTTCTATAGTTTTGGACAATTTTGTACAGATTCAATCTTGTTTAGGTCAGTTGAAACTCTCCTGTTGCTAGAACAGTTCAAACTTTTTGGAATTTAGTGTAATGTTCTCTTTGTTTTTTTAACTGATCCAATACTTTCTTTACTTTCTCACAAGTATCATCAAGGGTCTTTACATGTGAAAGGCAACCAAGTAAATGAGCTTGACAATCCATAGTACACCAGACAGAACACACTTCAGTAGTCATTGGAATGTAGAAGATACATTACGTAATCTAAATAGTAACACAACAAACTGATACATTTCTTGTAGTAAAGGCTATTTTCTTCATCAAATTGCAGTTGTCAATATCTACTCTTCATATCCAATATTAAAACTACTTTAACCTGGAAGAATCATCCAAGGTAGAGTCAGTCCTTAACCCTTTTGCATTGGGTGCCCCTTTAAATGCTTTTCTGAGCGAGTCACTGTGTTACATTGAAAAATTAATTAAACACCTTTACTATCAATATGTGTGAGTAAAATTAATATTATAATGTTATTCAAGTTTAAGTCCTTTATTTCAAAACAAACCTGTAAAAATCACTTAAACTTCAGATGTATTGTCACATGACAAAAAGTTTTTTCAACTCCATGCCCACCTTGAACAGATTTATTCGAGTTTATAGCCTACATGTAAATATTACATACACATGAGTATAGCCATTAGAAAGAGTTCATTTTACATTATAATCTAAAAATGCTTATTTTGAAATTGGTGCATAGTTGTCATTACGGGGTACATGTAACTGACTGTAGTATTGTTGGCTGTTTGATTGACTGTTGCACTTACAGCTGTTTCTTACCTAAATAT